TATATATATATATATGAATGAGATAATTTTCAAATAAGCAGAGACCATTTTGTTTAAAATGAACTTTCAAGTGTATTTCTGTAATAAAATAAATGGACAAATCTGCACAAATTTTAGGTATTATAAGGCATATAAAATCAAAATTTTCAATTCAAATGAGTTTTAATGCATATATAAAATAATAATGTGCTAAAAAAAAAAGAGATTCATTATTTTTTTAGCTTTAATATTTTCTGCATATTCTATGAAAAAAATAAATTGTTATTTTACATATTTTATTTATTAAAAAATCATTATAGCTTTAATATAGCTTTTTTATTAAGAAACATCTTTAATATAGCTTTGTTAAAAGAAATTTCTTTAATATAGCTTTTTTTTATAATCTAAAGTATAAAACTTTAATCAAATTATATAAAACTAAATTAAAAAAATTATAAATGCATAACAAATATCAAAATTAAAAATTATTTTAATTTCTTCTTTAGGATTTATATTTTATTAAATTAAAAAAAAACTATTTTATGGTAAAAACTTAAACAATATTTAAATTTTATATTTTTTATGTAATTTTAATGGGTGATTGACTTTTTTTGCCTCATATTTTTTGTCAGATTTCTTGTTTTTATAATCATAAGATAAAAACTTAAACAAAATTTATTTTTTATTTTGTTTTGTTTATTTATGTTTTTATTTTGCCCAGAGATTTTTTTTGTCGGCTTTCTTATTATCAAAATCCTAAAGGAAAATTTAAAATAAAATTTAATTTTGATATTTGTTATGTATTTAATATTTCTAACTGGTTTATTTTAGTATTATAAAATTTGTTCTATTATTGTTCTTAAGATTATTAAAAAAATGATATTTGATTAATTCTAAGTCATTACTTGTTAAGCCTAGATCATGCAACTCAATAAGTATTATACAAATTCTCTTAGGGGGTTTTATTGTTGCAATTATTTTGAAATTCGATGTATTCAAAATATTAAGTAAAATAAATCATGAATTTAAAATATTTTATGTTATTTGGTTACTTGTAAAAAAAATTTAGGAGTTTTTTTTTATTTTTTTGATTGGTTGCTTGCAAAGTAAAATCGATAATTGAAATACTACACCAACAGGCGACAGGCGGTGGCGGCTAGTGAGTATTGGTGGCGACAGTGGGTGGCTGTCAGTGGCGATGTGCGAAGCTACACACACACTGTGCATTTAGAATTTATCCAAATTGGATGAATTTCAAATATATTTAGGAGTTGTTTGGTTGCATGAAAAAACAATGCAGCATAAAATGAATATTTTGAAGTTATTTGGATTAATGTAAAAGCAACACATTATATCACTTTTTTTGTGTTTGGTTTGAAGTAAAATGAATGCAATATAAGAATAAAAAGATAGTGGTTGGTGGCCGACGTTTGTGGCAATGTGGACGGTGGCAGCGAGGGTGGTCGGTGGCAGCTGATAGTGGCGGGGGTAGTCAGCAACAGGTATGTGGCGATGGCGGGTGGGCAATTGGAATGAGTTTCTGGCGTATTTAGAACTCGGTCAAATCGGAGGAATTCTATATACACCAAAAATGAACTATGAGATGGATTTCAAAATGCACTAAAATTTTATACTATATTTATTTTATTTCAAATCAAATGTCAATATTTTCAAATCTCTATTTCTGAAAGACTTTACACTCCATTTAAGGTAACTAAACAACCTCTTAAATGCTCTAGATAGGAAATTTGATTTACACTACAATGACAAGGTTGGAACCTAGTTGGAACAAAGGTCAAATCAAGTTTAAATTACGTTCAAATAACTTTCAAAAGACTCATTTGGGGTATTTTGATTTAAAAAAAAATAAAATTGGAGCATATAAAGTCAAATTTTCTTATTTTTATATGAGATTTCTTTAGAAAGAAATTATTATATTGACTCAAATAAAACAAAGTTCTTCGATAAATATAAGTTGAGTAAAAAAATTTAATCTCTCTAAACGATTAAAACTGTATTCTTTCACTAATCTAGGAACAATTATTAGGTCCTCCGACCGGATGTAGCTCTACGTCCGGTCGGAGCTAAAATCGTGCCAAAAAATGAGAAATACCGAGCAATACCAAACAATAACAAGGAATACCATCATGTGAAGACCCAATACCGAATTATACCGAGCAATACCGAGTTTTTCCTAGAAAAAACTCGGTATTTTTTTGTCTAACTCGGTATTGCTCGGTATAGCTCGGTATTGGTCTTCACATAGCGGTATTCCTCGTTATCACCAAATAATACCTAGCAATACCGAGTTTTTTGGAGGAATTTTAGTGCCGACTGGATGTTCCTCTACGTCCGGTCAGAGGACCTAATAATTGTTCATAATCTAGAGCTTAAAAAAGGTGTGATTTTTTGTTGTTGTCGGACGTTCATAAAGAGCACAAACGAATTCATTTAAAATTGTGCGCCTTAAATTAATTTTAGTGTTGACTACAAACAAGAGTAGAGTGAAGAAGTTATGCTAACTAATCTTTTTTCCTTATTGATGAAATGAGTACACAAATTTTGATAGCTTGCAATGACTCTTATATTGTAGTTAAGAGTGCCAATATTTGACACAACAAGAAAATCAGACTCGTCATGACCCGAAAATTTCTAATTAGACCGAACCCGATATCAAAATGGGTGGAGTTCGAATTCCCGGATTAACATGACATAGTGGAGAAAAAGAATTCATATAGCCGACCACACATAGTGAGATAAAGGCTTAATGATGTTAATGGTCATGATGCAAAAGTTTGTTCATCTTATCTTATCAATGAGCAATTAGATATGTTACTCAACATTTTATTTAAATGCACATATAAGAACATATTTTATATCAATTTAGCATATATCTATCAAATCTAGCCATGATTATGAGTTGAATATCTAAATATACATGCCAATATAAACTTTTTTCCCAAAATTTCTCTCTCATTTTTATTTCTTGTATTTATAAACTTCCTAATTCAATGCTTAAAAATATATATATAATTTTTTAAGAAATGATAATATTAGCATCTATTAACAACTATAGAACTACTTATTAAAGATGGTTCTTTATAAGACCACAAAAAATATTATAATATATTATTATCAGATCATAGAAAAGGTTCATCAATCCAAATAAAATGTTTCATATCTCATTATGTTCCAAGTCAAATGGTAGCCCTTCGATAGGAGAAATTTTTATGTATGGAGTCCGGACAATACAACCGTCCGATTTACTAAGTAAACTCAATAAATACTACATAAAGACTACATAAATGCTAAATAAAAAATACTCAATAAAATTTTACTGAATATACTCAGTAAATACTACATAAATACTAAATAAAAAATACTCAATAAAAAATTTACTAAATATACTCAATAAACCGGCGGTTATTTCGAACTGGACTCCACACGTAACAAATCTTCATTCCATAGGAGCACGGTCTAATCACCTCTCTTCTATGGCCTTGCCTCTTCAGTGAGGCAAAACAAATGTGGGCCCAATATCAGTGGGTGGCCTCGCTAGATTCCGCTAATGGATTAGTTATACCACCAAGTGCTCCCTTTGAAGTGGTAGCAGGTAGATACTCCCGTTAACTAAAAAAGAAAAAATAAAGATCGGCTTACAAGATAGGTTGGCAAAGCTCCATTTTGTTATGACTTGAGCTCGACTCGTCTCATTTATTACCTATAAGATGTTGTGATTGGTTAACCAAACAAAAAAATAGTTCGCGACAACCATCATCTGACCACGGTTAAACCATCATCGTCAAATCCAAACCACACAGCTCTAGAACAAGGACTAGCATTTGGGAGGGGGCATAATCTTATGGTCCATTTGTCATCCTAATTACTTTATGCAACCATCCTGGTCAAAGAGTTCTTCCACTTCACATGGACAAGCTTTCCTGTTCTAAATCAAATCCAAAACACCTTATAATGGATTCCATGCTTGCCTCTCCCGTTTCATCCAGAAATTCATCAAAGGCTGATAATTACATCTAGAATTAGAAACTTATTTCAATATTAGGGTTCATTTGAAACAACTTTCTTATTGCTTTCTAGAGCAACTTTTTAAAACAAAAAATTCTAATTCAATTTTCTTTCAACTTAAAAGCTATTTTAGAAAATAGTAAAAAAGGTATTCTAAACGAAGCCTTAATGACTCAAAACAACAACATTAACAGCATCAAGTCTTTAACTCATTCCGTGGGATTGACAACATGAATCTGCTTTCTCCATTGTGTTCTATGAAGAGTCAAATTCTCTTTCAAATCTAATAAAAAATATCATTTTTAATATTTCTAACCAAATCTTTTTATATATATCTCTCCTCTTTTCTAACAAAAATACATATACATAAAACTTCTAATAATAATCAGATATAAATCATAAAGAATATGCACCAAATTCATAATTTTGGAGAAACAATCTTCTCCATTAACCAAGTTGAAACTCTACTAATTACTAAATCAGACTCAAAACCAATTTGAAAATCTACAAGAAATCAATGACTTGACTATAAATCTGTGAAGCAGGTTGCAATTTCAGTAATGTATTCAAGCATTCCATCAGAAACAAGCTCTTCAAACAGAGCTCAAGGAAAGGTTATAATCAAAATATTGATTTTACCCGCAAAAAACCAACAAGAAACAAATGATAATTGAGAACAATTCATATTCAACAGAAGATAAAATTCAAAGAGTGCAACTACAGAAAAGCATTCTTCTTACTAAGCAAAAATAACAAGATCTGACTCTGATTCAAAGGATAATAATAAGTTAAAAAGCTTCAGGAATATAAATTCAAATGACTGAAGTTCACTACTCATCTTCCTGGCTGCGTAGCCTGGCAAGCTTGTTGGTGACTACAATATCAAGCTGTGCTGCTCGCTCCACAATATCCTTGCGTTTTCGGGTTGAAACGTTGTGTGCAATCTCAGCACAGTATGTCCTGAATATATATAATCAATTCCCAATTAAGCTAAACAGGTACTATAAATATCAAGCTAAGGCATTGTTTGGGACGACTTTTTTACTGCTTCTTACAGCTTTTTAGTACAAAAGTTTTAATTTTTGTACTAAAAAGATGTTTTAAGAAACAGTAAAAAAACTGACCCAAACTAAGCCTAAGTTTTATTATTATTTTAGGAGTCTAACCTGTTGTGCATCAAAAGCAATTCCAGTTCGGAGACATTGTGAACTACAAACTTCTTGAACTTGTTTGGCAAAAAGTGGCGTGTTTTCTTATCAGAACCGTAGCCAATGTTGGGCATCAAAGTGCATCCTTTGAACTTTCTCCGCACACGAGAGTCGATACCTTTAGGCCTCCTCCAGTTTGGCTGTAGAAATGAGTATATAATAAATAAAGTATTAGATAGTCGCTGAAGCTTCCTCAAAAAATAATTCAAAGCTCTGTTTTGATTTTGATTTCAGTTGCTTTATAAAAATTTCAATTCTCAATTTCAACTTCATACAAATAGCATTGCTAGATTTGTAGAATTGCGACAACTACCAATGATTTTAAGGGATATATGGCCATTAGTATAAGGCCAAACTTAAGAAATCCAAGGAAAAAAATTAATAAGCTCAGAATCCATTTCAGTATAAATCAATCCAAAACAATTATAATCCTTTCCTGGCTAGGTAAAACACCTCACCTTACGCTACACCTTTAAAACATTATTGACTAGCAGCCAATGAGCATTTACATAAATAATATGATCAATTCATTAGATGCACAATTCTCAAATAGAAGTCTATATATGGGAGGAGCACTAATACTAAAGGTAAGGTGCGGAGCAAGGCGCTGACGTCGGCTCCATACTAGGTGAAACAAAGAAGTTTGAACCACCCGGCACTTAGTGATATTTCACAGGCTTCTGCCTTTGACTGGCCCACATCAAAAAGTCAACTCTTTCGAAGAAACCCACCCTGGGTAGCTAAGAGCTCTGTGTTCACTTACAACACAACTGATTCAAGACTTTGTTCCTACTCATGTGCTACTAGATAAGGCAAAAAAGTCTACCAACCAGAGATTTGAGACTTTGATTCTTGAAGATGAGTGACTAAGGAGCAGTAGTGAAGCATAAATACACTTGCAAGAAAAACAATCACAGGTGTGATATAAAATGGAAAAGTAAACTACTATAAAAATGTAGTGAAGCATAAATACACTTGCAAGAAAAACAATCACAGGTGATATAAAATGGAAAAGTAAACTAGTATAAAAATTAATCACAAAAAATAGAAAAAAAAATCCCAAATTTAGTGTAAAATATGGGTTTACTAAAAGTGCATCATTTTTCTTCCGTTCTACAAATCAAATCCAAAAAATGAGGATATAAATGAGAATACAAATTTTTGGGTTAAGATTAGGTTCATAAAATAGAGATGTGTTTCATAAGTACTATGATTAAAAAATATTGCTGATTTAAAAATAAATTTTATAAAATTACAATAATGATACAACAACAACAACATCATCATCATCATCAAGCCTTTGTCCCACTACGTGGGGTCGGCTACATGAATCATTTTTCTCCATCGTGTCCTGCTAAAAGTCAAATTCTCGTTTAAAACTAATAAAAAAAGACCATTTCTAATATTTTCTAACAAAGTCTTCTAAGGTCTACCTCTACCTATCTTAACATAAGTTAAATCTACTTTCCTAACCGGGTCATCGGAAGGCCACCGTTTTATGTGACCAAACCATCTAAGATGACTCTCTCTAATCTTATCTTCCACTAGTGCTACTCCAACCTTTTCATGTATATGCTCATTTCATCTCCTATCTCTAAGGGTAAAGCTACTCATCCACCTGAGTATCCTCATCTCTGCAACACTTAATTTAGTATTATGCTTCTCTTTTAATGGCCAACAAAATTGCAATAAAGATAAATTTATAAAATTGCAATTAATTAAATTATGCTGTATAGATCTAAAGGTTGGATGATAAAAAAGTAATTGATAGACAATAAGCTGGGAAGAAAAAAGAATTCCGATAGATCTATAGCAAAACTACCAATAAAGGATTGAGGGATGATAACATTGGAAGGATGATGAGAGTAAAAATTAATGAAAAGAAGACTTTAGATAATATACTTATGTAATTTGGAAATGATTAATAAAGGCAGATAATGCATCCAAAAATTAGTTGGATGAACAAAAAAGACATTTGAAAATTATACCCAAAAAATCTACGCAAAATAGTTTTAACACTTCATATGACACTAAACAGAGAGAAATGGTTTATAAAGCTTGAGCAATAAGAAATTAGAAAGCTGACCCGTACGTTGTGGGGGGGGGGAGAACAATGCTAATGATGATCAAAACAACTTAAATTTATAAAATTTCATTTTTTATCAATATCATATCAAAATTAACAAAAAAAATATCACAGGTAATTAAACAAAGATTCAAGGAAACCAAGATGAAAACCAAAAATTACGCGAATAGGATGGATTTACTAAAAGTGCACATTTCTGAGAAAATTTTTAAGAAGGATCATTTTTTTTAAGAATTAAATGAGAGGAAAGTAATTAAAAAAATAAATGAAAAAAAAGTAAAATAGAAGTAGTATTTATCCAAAAACCTGAAATATTTTTGCAATTTCTGTAAAAATAAGAAAATAATTTGCATTTAAAAAAAAAAGTGTTTTCCAAAGAAAACTCAAATTTCTTTTTCGTTTACAAACAAAACACAAATTTCACCCTAAAGTGTTTTTTCGATGTTGCTGAATGCCAATAGTCAAAAAATAATAATAAGACCTACAGATAAATTTTATTTACAAATTATTTAAGTTAATTAATTTTGATATTAAATTTAGAAAATTATTTGACAAATTTTATTTCAAATTAAATTAAAACAATTGATTCAATTTTGAAAGACTCAAGATATAATTAAATTTAATGATGAAATGATGAATTTATTTATCTTTAATTTGAATAATATTTAAAAATATAATTAAGATCATTATGATATATGGATCTAATTGTTGGGCAATAAAGTTATTGACAAACAAGATAATCATGAAAGAGCTAAGAAAATTAAGAATTTAAGATAGATATGCATGAGCAAAACTAGCAAGGCAATACTAATGGAAGATTACATCCACAAGGTGATGGACGGGTGATTTGGTAATGAACAACAAAGTTAGAAGATGTACTAATATTATGAGTGAATAAAATTACAATTGACTTAAATGAGAAACTAAGATTAAAAAAATTGTGAAAAAAATTTGTGTAAAATAATTGACTCCTCATGCGGCACTAAACAAGGAAAATGGAGAATAAAGATTTATAAAGTTGATTGTCTGGTAGGGATAAGAATGATGATAATCAATTGATTTAATACAAAATTTCATTGAATTCATAGAGGTTCATATCATTTCAATATAAAAAAATTTTTGCTAGTAGAAAAAAGCACCCCCGACCATTGTAATTTTCACAATGAATGTTGTATTTATCCCAACATTGGACGATAACTAAGTCATAGATATACAAGTTAATCTCGAAAGAACTAAGTAAAGATGTATAAACATTAATAAAACCAAGAAAAATAGATTGAGGGATCATTACATCGAAGAGGCGATGGAAACAACAATTATTGAAATCAAGATATTGAGAAATATACTTAGGTACGTTGCAAATGTACTACAGAAATAGAAGGTGAACCAACATTATGAATGTATAAAATTAAAGTTTAAGTAAGGCATTAGATAGAATGGTGTAAAAGATATAACTTGGATTAAAAACTATGTGCAAGCTCATGAATAGAGTTCATTCCACAAATATCATTAAATCTATATATGGTCATATCCTTTCAAAATTATAAAATATCTGCCAGGGAAAAAAGTCCCCCCAAGCTAACTACAAGCGATTATTATTGAATAAAAATTCACTTATCTTTATGTTAGTTTTTTTATTTTTATAAATATATAGGCATCTATTTCTAACCTGTTAGCAAAAAACTGACCAAAACTCATACCTAAATATGTTTAATTTGTCATGCATATCTAGCAAATCCCATCATAAAACACATTACAAAAGTTATATCAATATCAATATAAAAATTCCCATTATAAATCCTCATAAACGCTCCATGTTAGGAACGGAAAATCAGGTCACACATTTGAATTGCTTATAAAAGGGCATTCAAGAGACAAATAGGTCATCTTAAAGGGCTTTCCAAATGAAACGTGGTGCATTACTTACTTGTGTGTGTGTGTGGAGAGGGGGGGGGGAGGGGGGCCTTTCAGACCAACTAAGGCAGCCTAAATTCCCAACCAATAGACCAAGGTGACCTATGTGTATTACTTACTTCCAAACTAGCATACTCAGAATCTTATGATGAATGTGTCCTAACTAAAATTCATCTAAAAAGGCATATTTTTTCATTGTTAATCATCCCTTTTCAATGAAGTGCAGAAGCAAAATCTTTCAGCATTTTGTTGGAGAATGCATGAAAAAGGGCTTAGAATCAATCGAGTTCAACTCTTTATTATCTACGCTCATCAAACAAGTATGTTATTGTAAGAACAACTAATCAAAAGAGAAAAAAGAGAATCTGCAAGGTACTTTTTGAGCTGGAAGATTAAAACTAGAACAATGAACTCAATATGTTGCATGTGAACCGAAAGGGCTTTCCAAGACCATGATAAGAAATTGCGAATCCAAAAATATAAGTAGACAAAAAATGATCCACTAATAATCACAAAAGACTCCCCATTGCTCTAACTTTTCAAAAATAGATTAACTGATCAGTAAAGTGAAACGCATCCATCTGAAGCAACAAAATCAACTTATTCAAACTAAATAAAGAAAAATATGAATAAAAATTTCACCTTCACGCAGATCTTGCGATCGCTCTGGGGCCTCTTAAACTTCTTCACACGCTTCTTCACGATCTTCCTGTTGAGCAGCGGAACCGCCATTTCTGAACAAAAATCAAGTAATGAAGCATCAGGAAAAACTAAACAAACGATTTGCGCTTCGGAAAAACGAAAGAACCCTCTTATTTGTACAACCAAAAGGATACCTTCAAAGGATTAAGAAAAATCCGTGAAAAAGTGAATAACTGCAAGCATAGAAGAAGAAATAAATAAGATTGAGGCCTTCAAACCCTAGTAAAGCGATAGAGCAGAAGATGGAAGTATATCCTTACGGCTGCTCCAACCGCGCGCCGGTGTCGAAGAATGTTCTTTAGGGTTTGCAGAATATATATAACTCAGGAAGTGGTGACACGATTAGGGCATCAGACACCGTCCAATCGGTTCACAGCCAACGGTCAGATCCTTGCCATGTAGAGTGCGAAGAGATAGATAAGCCCTTCCTTGGGATTTTTTTCTTTTAATTTTTTTAAATTTTTATGTTTTAACAAATTTAATAATCATAATTTAGAGTTATCACTTAATGCTAACTCCCAAATCCTTAATAACAATTATAAGACTTTTAAGATTGATAACAACATTTAGACTTCGTTTGGGACGACTTTCTTACTGCTTCTTAAAACAATTTTTTAGTATACTAAAAAGCTGCTTTAAAAAATAATAAGAAAGTCGTCCCAAACGAAGTTTTAGTCACAAATCTAATTGTAAAAGTTTAACATTGCAATTGTGAATGACATAAAGTTATTACTTTTTCTAAATCACCTTTAGTTCAAATAGCAAAAATAACTATAGATATTATTTAGTATTTGATTAGCTAATATATATAATGATATATTATATTATTAGGAGATATTAATTATTTGGTTTATTGGCATCTTCAAATAATGATTTATAAATGATAAATATATACATGAAACGTCTAAAAATCAAATGTCTTAGATATATATAAAATGTATTATTCTCATTAGATTGTTAAGATGATAGTCTGACTCAATCTTTATCGTCCAATCAATACATGTGGGATTAGATGACAGCGTGCAATATAAGCCATCAATGTATTTCACTTCAATCAGAGTTGATTGGAGGGTTTTTTCTCGATCTAATGGATCAAGACGGATAAGAGCATCAAGAGAAGGAATTCAATAGTTTGATTTTCTTAGGATTGGGATTTGCTTCACAATGTATGGAACTCAAAAATTGGATTAGGGCTAGTTTCACATATATGTTTTAAGTGTCTTGAAACAAATTAGTTGTTGCAGGAGCTTTATTTGGCTATGATGAGTATTGTTGATTAAGATTACAAAATGAGAAACCAAACATGTGAAAATTCATACTACTGAAGAGCTTGGGATTTCTTGGCTATTTCAGTAGTATGAAGTCTCACGTGTTCTACAAGCTAGACACATCATCACCAGTTAATGGGAAAAATACATCCTTGGCGTATAGAAGAAGCCAAGAACGAAATCGCACTCTACGTGTGGCTGAAGCCGAGTAATAGAGAATGAATCATACATCAAGCAAAAGTTAGAAAACATAAACAAAACAAGAAACTCTTAACACAAGCATGTAGAGGATGAAGTAGATGTATTATTCACTTGTCAAGTCTTATTGTTACATCTTTTTAACCACTATTTTTACATAAATTACAGAAAAAAAGGTACTAATGGCTATTCTAGGCTACACAAGAAAAGTCTCAAGAAAGTACACATATAACCATTTCAGTTTTTTATCCTAAAGCAAAAAATTAAACTCACAGCTTTAAAACTCAATTAAGTTGGACCACAAAAGCTAAAAATCTTCACCTTGATTCAAATTTGATGAATGATTCAAATCTACACAATTAACTAAATTCAAACAGTTATTGAGCAAGCATTTTGTCAAATTGCATCAGAAGAAATTGCATTTCTTCTGATGCAATTTTCTCCACTTGAACTTCTCAAACTGAAATGATATCTCTAATGAAGTATAGCTTTATATTTATATGCTTAGATCTTTCATGAAAAATAGGATTTTTAGCATCAGCCAGTCCAAACTTGTGCATCATGATCTTCATGTATGCAGCTTATGAAAGAAAGAGTTTACAGTCATACCTATTTCTTGTAATTTGAATTCCCAGAATTATGCTAGCCATCCCCATGTCCTTCATCTCAAACTAGGATGAAAATTGATCATTCAACCAATCAATTTCAACTCTGGATTTGCTTGCTATCAACATATAATCTCAACTCTGAAACCTTTAACACCTTTAGGGTATCCAAGGAATATAAACACTTAACTTCCCTTTGTTGAAATTTATCTTGATTTATATATGCATAAGTAGCACATCTAAAAGCCTCAATCTGTTTTAATTTGGAGCATGTCCAGTCCACTATTCCATGGGGGTTATGAATTTTATTGTTGATGAGGTGATCTAAGTCAATATTTGACACGACTCGAAAAAACCTAACTCGAACCGGACCCAAAAATTTCAAGTTAGGGTCAACCTAGACCCAAAACGGGTTGGGTTCAGGTTTAACAAATCGACCCATTTGAAAATTGACTCGTAAACCCATTTTTGACCCAAACACCCGAGATTGACCCATTTCTGGCCCAAAAATTCAAGAACAATCAATTTTTTAACCAAAAAACTAGCAATTTTTGGTTGGCCCCGGGTCATTCGGGTTGTGTTGGGTTGACCCAGACCCGAAGGCATCGGGTTCGGGTCTGAAAAATTCATTCATTTGCAAAAATGGGTCGGGTTCTAACTGACCCAAATATTATCGGGTCAGTTCCGGATTTGACCCAAACTCGACCCGTGACCCAAAATTGACACCCCTACTTAATAGTTTCTCCCCAAAACTCCCTTTAGACCAGCATTATTCAACATGCACCTAACTCTTTCAAGTTAGGTCTTGTTTATTCGTTCAACAAGCCAATTTTGTTGTGGCATGCAAACAACCTTCATATGTCTAGAAATTACTTCTATCTTATAATAATGATCAAATGCATTGGAACAGAATTCAAACCCATTATCAGTACATAGCTTCTTTACTCTCCTTTATATTTCATTCTCTGTAACTACTTTCCACTGAATGAAAGTCTCAATAGCTTGATCTTTAGTTTTCAAACAATTGACCCAAACCTTCCTTGAGTAATCGTCAATGATTAACATAAAATACCTTGCTCTACCCATAATTGCAATCCTTGATGGCCCCCAAAGATCACTACACATATAATCCAAGACACTCTTGGTGATATCTCTTATTGTTTGAAACCTTACTATGTTGCTTTTGCCCAAATACAGCTTTCATAGAATTCCAATTTGCATATCTCATCACCACAGAGTAGATTTTGTTTTCTTAGCTCATCCAAATCACGCTTATTGATGTGGCCTAATCTTAGATGCCAGAGTTTAATTTGGTTGGCATCATCTGTCACAACATAAGTTGTTTAATTTGTTTGGTCATGGTTTTTCCATGCAATGAGTACAAACCATTAACCAATGACCCCTTCATTACAACCATTGCTCCCTTGCTTACTTAAACCAATCCTTTATCAATCTTTATATTACATCCAAGAGTATCCAACAGCCAAACCAATACTAAATTCCTTTTCAGCTTAGGAACAAATCTCAATCCTTGCAAATATCTGATATAACTAGGGGTGTCAATTTCGGGTCACAGGTCGGGTTCGGGTTTAACCCGGAACTGACTCGGCACTATTCGTGTCAACAAAAAACTAACCCATTTTCGAACCCGAACTTGACCCGCTTCGGGTCCGAGTTAACCTGACATGACCCGAGTGACCTAGGACCGACCAGAAATTGTTGGTTTTCGAGTCTAAAAATTGGTCAATCTCCGATTTTTTAGTCAAAATCGGGTCAATCGCATGTTTCCAGGTCAAAAAAGGATTTTTGGGTCAAAAACAGGTCAACATTGGGTCAATTTGGGTTATTGGGCCAACTCAAACTTGACTCGATTTTTGAAACAAGTCGATTTGCTAAATCCAAACCCAACACATTTTGGATGTGGGTTGATCCAAGCCTGAAATTTTTGGGTCGAGTTTGAGTCGGATTTTCGAGTCGTGTCAAATATTGACACCCCTAGATAACCATCAAACATGCTGATTGCAACAACCCCTTCTCCCATGACTTTGCAACCTTTGTTGTCTCCTAACAAAAGCATTTCACCATCTTCCTTCTTGAGGTTTTGAAACCAACCTTCATTTGGTATCTTGTGAAAAGTACAGTTGGAATCAATTATCCATTCATCTTTTGAGCATTTTGCTGAAAAAATCACCACCTTAAAGGATTCATATCCATTTGATTCAACTGCAGCAGTTGCTTTGCCTTCATCTTTTGATATCTTTCTAAGCCAAATCTTCCTCTATGGACAATCCTTCTTGAAGTGTCATTTGTTGTGACAATGGAAACACTTTCTTGGGTTCTTGGATTACAATCTTGATCTTCTATGATAGTTATTACTCAATTTGGCATCTCTTAACTTAGCTCTTCCTCTAGCCAACAAGATATATCTATTCTTGTCCTCCTTGGTTTTCAATTTGCACTAAATTTGTTTTGAAATCAACACCGTTTTCACCTCAATCATCATTAAGGTCTTCTTTCCATACAACATCATGTCCCCTATATGTTCGTAAGACTTCGGCAAAGAGCTTAGTAGAATGATTCCTTGGTCTTCCTCTTTAATCTTCTCATCCACGTTCTTAAGATCTAGTATGAACTTATTGAACTCATCCATGCGCTTCCTCGGATCCTTAGATTCAGGAATTGCGAGAGCCATGATGAGTTCAATAAGATCTGCGATCGGCGTAGATAGAGGCTAGATTTGGGATTGTTGGATGATCTTATGGAACGAAGATGCGATTGGGAAATATAAATGAGGTTGTATTAGATCAGGCATGCAGTTTGGCGTCGACACGATTGGGCAGGATAATTTAAAATATTTATAGAACACAAAAATAATACATAATAACTATCATCATCAACACCAATTACAAGAATTCTTTATGAATCATTCATTTATTATTATTATTATAGTTTGAAGGCAAATTATACTTTCTTTTGTTTGTTATATTCTTATAAGAAATTCGTCAATTCTAAAAATGATCTCGTCCTATATAGGCGACTACGCTCTATGAACTCATACCAAGTTGGTGATCAGTATGACTTATCAAGCCAGTCGATCTTAGCGACTACTTCAGTAGATGATTATTTATCAGCTATTTAGCTATTTGTCCACCTATGCAAGCCAAGCAGTGACTTCTTATGCCCTCCACCGACAACTTTATCAAGTCAGACATTCTAATTAGGCTACACAACTATTATATTTTTTTATTTTATGTATAGCCATGCATGTAGCTGATTCTATAATTTGAATTTATCAAATAAAA